ATCCAGTGATGTCATTTATAATAATAGATCAGTCAGAGGAAGCAAACCAGTACTTTTCCTTTATTACTTTCACTGCATTACTACACTGGTATGTAGTGTGCATTTAATTGAGGGGGATTTTTCATGCAGGATTTTTACATGTATTTAATCGTATTATTACTAGTATTTTATGTCATTCAACACTGTGTTCCAAATTATTATGCAAATTGTATGTAAGTGTCATAAAGATTACATTTTTTGTTTTTCAATTAAACTCATGGATAGTATTGTGTCTCAGGGCTCTTTTGATCACTGAAATCCATCTCAGACACCTGTGATGATTAGTTTGCCAGGTAAACCCAATTAAAGGAAAAACTACTAAAGAAGGACGCTTCACATTATTAAGCAGACCACCATTTTCAAGCAATATGGGAAAGAAAAAGGATCTCTCTGCTGTCGAAAAGTGTGAAACAGTTGAATGCCTTGGACAAGGTATGAACACCTTAGATATTTCGCAAAAACTTAAGCGTGATCATCGTACTGTTAAGAGATTTGTGGCGGATTCAGAGCACACACGGGTTTGTGCAGATAAAGGTACGATGAGGAATTGGGGGTCTCTCGGGCTTAAAGGGTTAAGTGAAAAATACTTTTTCCAACACTGGCCAGCATGAAATTTTCTTCTAAACATATGCAGTTGCACATAAGCTGGGTATATATATGCACATAACTTCTTGGCTTTCTTTGCTGATTTATAACAACATGATAGATGCCACTTTGATGGGATGTTTAATAATCAACTTCGCTTGTCTCGCTGTTGTTGTGACCCCAGGAAGGATTGTGGGGATTATATCATGTTGTTCAGTGCACATCCCCAAGAGGAGCTGATCATCCCTCAAACACCCCCTTCACATACGAGGGTCCCATGACCTTCGACCTCTGGCCCTGCTGGCTGGCCTGCAGGACGGTAGAAGTCATATCACGCGTCTTTAGATAAGCATCTTGCCTTCAAATCCTCAACTCCGTGGGTCGAGCCTGACAAAATCTGGTCAGTATTAGCATGTTTTACCATCAGTGAGACTTGAAGAGAGTGAGTTTTTTTTTTTTTACTTGTGAGACTCAAAACAACAGAATTAATCCCTTTAGAAGAGTTGGAGGAAATTGGTTTTTCACCCCATGTAACAGCTGAGCTTGTATCCACATAAAAAGCTGTGAAACCATCACAAAGGGAAATTCAGCGTTATCCTAAACTCAAACATAATCTGAACAGTAAAGCTTTAAATCCAGTTTTCTCTCTAAAAATAACCTACATTATAGTCAAGGTGATGTTCTGGTCCTTTTCAGCCTCTGTTTAAATTACGTCTCAAGTTACAACTCGTCTTTTCATGGGCAGCGGCCTTCTGTGTCTTCCTCTCAGTCCCTCCACCTTCCTGACTGTGTTTAGCCTTCGGGCCTGTGTCGCCCGACTCCACAGCATTAATGGATACGGACGTCTGGCAGCGCTACAGATTTGTACGCGCTGATAACGCTTGTGCTTCGGTAAAAAGATTACATTAGAAGTAAATGGCGCATGATTGGGTTAGAGTGAAGAATAACATATGACAATGAAGCCCATGTACGGTGGGCTGTAAATCATCTGGCCTGGAAAACACAGCAAATTCACATTCATCATGATGTACACTTTGTTAGTTATCTAAAGGATGTTTTAGTGTTGGAGTTCTGGCTCCTTATATCTTGATCTCGAATGAATCATCTCCCCCGAACACCACACTTCCTATTCAGACCACAAGTTCAATCAAGCTTCCTCTAAAGCGTCATCCTCAGCAGAGGATGGTTTTTGCAGCAGCAGGGAAGAAAACATCGATTTACGTTGTGTCCACTTTTGCTTATCAAATAACCTTCTTTGTCTGTGGTGTATTTTCTAAGGTTCTTTAAAACCTGGGCAGACACTGAACGATTTATTAGGGCCTGGTTGTACTCGATTACGGACACACACATGGACAGCTACAGACCACAGGGACACGTAGTTGTTCCTGTTTGTACGACCATCTAGTCTGCTTGAGGACGAGTTCCATTCATACATGCATAAGTGCAGGAGATCAGCGTCTACATATAAGTCCAATAAAAGCCATTAAACAATAAAAACACTTCAACAAAAGTAATCTAAATCATTGTATTGTATAAAACAAAGCTGTCATTAGGGATTTACATAAACAGACCAGAACAGGAAAAAATAAATTTGATCTACTGGGAAAAGTCAGCAAGTTAAAATATGTGTTTAATTGGATTTAAAAACAAGTAGTGAAGTTGATTTTTAGAGCTTCCACTGAGAAAGACCAGTCGGCCTTAAGTGTCAGACTCCAACAAAGAAGTACTAAGAGATTCTGATCTAATATCCTAAGCAGGCAACGTGGGCCTTAACAGCTCTGACAGATAAGCTGGGCCCAGTGCATTTAAGCACTTATAAACAAGCACCAAGTACAAGGATGTTAGTGCCTGGCCCACTCCGACAAACAAGTAATTGCAATAGTAGAAGTGATAAGAGCATTAGCGACCTTCTCGGATCTTTAAAGTAAAGGAAGGATTTGACTACGGATAAAGCTCTAAACAGAGAATAGCTGACTTTGACTACTGGTTTGATCTGCGGGTCTGGTTTAAAAGAAAAGCCAAATATGACACCAAGGTTTTTGTTTTTTTTAACCTTCTGATAATTCAATTTATATTGCTCTGACTCTCGCAGATCCTTGAAAGTTTAAGTCACGTTAGTTGACCTATATACCACACTCAAACACAACAAAACGTTGACGATGTGACAGTGGATTTAAACAGGAAATGCCAGCCAGTAAACATATGTTTTTAACTGGGACTGGAAAACTGGTAGTGAAGTTGACGAGTTGCGAGGCTGTTCCAAAGTTTAGGAGAAAGATTAGCGCCAGTCTACATCCAAGAATGACGAACAGATCTAATGACCTAAGCAGGACACATAAGATCTATTCAAGCACTTCTAGACAATAAAACATTTTTAGAACTGGACTGAAACTAAAAAGGTAGCCAACGTAGGGTTTGCAGGATAGACGAAATATGCCTCTGCTTACAAGTACCAATCAAGAGTGGAGCTGCAGCATTTTGCAGCCAGAATGTTAGTGTCTGGATCATTCTAACAAACAAATCATTGAAATAGTCCAGCTTTGGTGGTAAAAACACAACCTTCTCAAGATCTGTGAAGGAAAGGTTGGGTTTGACATTGGATAAAGCTCTTAGTTCAGTTTTGACTATTTGTTTGATCTGAAAGAAGAATCAAAAGGTTCTTCACATGAAGTTTCCAATAGGATCCCCTACACAAGTATAACAGCAGTCTGTACATTGCATTACTCCACGTGGTAGTTATCTTTTTATGTCTTGGTCACAATATTGGGTACTTGAAAAATCAAATAATTAACATATTATTCAGTTAGATCAGTGTAAGCAGCCCACTGTGCCTGATATCCACAAGATCTCAATATCTGAGCCTTTATTACTCCAGTGTGACTGAAGTTTATAGATCAGGACAGGACATTCTTTGATTAAACAGGAAACAAAAATCAGATCACTGTGTTTAGACCCAGAAATAAATGTAGTAAATTGAATTAAGTTTACATTAGTTTCTCTGTCTGTTTTAGTCATTACTAGCTGCGTCAAGTAGCCCCATGGGCTAAACCAAAAGCTCTCGTAGGCCAAACAGGATCATGGGAGACGTACAAAAGAGTCCCTTTAGCCTGAGACCAGCTCTGTGTTCACCACTGTGATAACAACATCCTTCAAACCGCGGCCCCAACAGACTGCATAGCTGATCAACAGACTTCTTTTATTGTCATCTCACAAAAGCGTTGATTTAATCTGTGAGGCATCAGATCATTGGAATGAGCAGTGACTGCAGTCATAAGGAATTCGTGATTTTGGATGTGATACCCACAGGGTGCAATGATATAAAAGAAATTCAGAACCCTGTTCAGAGATATGACCTCCTACTAAACCCGCACCACAGAAAGAGTGTGGTCTTTGTATCTTTGGATGGGATGAGTCGGTGAAGATAATGAGACTTCAGCTTCGACGTGGCATTTAGGTCGATGGGCCAACAATGTCTATAGTGTGGAACTGAGATGATCCGATTATGTGACTGACAAAGTGGACGTCCAGCACGTTGTACTGTCCGTCCAGCACCGGACAGTCAATATGTGCTTCTATTGAGGCCGTCTTGACCCTAGGCAACGCACCCCATCACTCAACTTTACTCTGCACAGAAGTTCATGATAAACTTGCCCAGTGTTTACATAGGGTCATCCCACAGCCATTTGTTACACAGCGGAAAAATAAATCTCTGAACAAGACCATAGTTGTCTTGTTAGAAGAATGGATCAGTTTTTGATGAACTTTACTTTCCTCCTTCCACCACAAAGATGGATGCTTCATCCCTTTGCAGTTTGAACTTGGTAACCTACTGTATGAGGTCCAGTTCACCAAAAATGCCAAAAGAATTGAACCAATAAAAAATCTGTAAAACTCACTGGCAAAAGGATGTTTCTGAAAAAAAGTTGTTAGTGTAAATATCCCATAGAGCACAATTCCTTGTTTTTGTTCCATATAGGGGTATAAATGTGAGATTGTGATGATTTTGTACGCTAAAGGTAAAAGAAATATTCTCACATTTCAGGAAATATGCTTACTATGCCTAACCTAACCTATGAGACGACCACACATAGCTTCATTTTTACTGTATATGTTAGAACTAGCGTCAATCTATTCATTTAACTAACTGTATTTCCTACAATGTCAAAGTTTTGCTTAAACTTCGCTCATTTGCACTGCTGCAAGAATTCGTACGACATACATTTTGTGGCCAACAAGCCAAATACACATGCTGGAACATTTCACCTTGGCCGATATTCGTGCAGATGATTTGTTATTAAGTATATAAGCACCTTATTCTGACAGGACATGCAGGTACTTTATGTTCTTTACTGTGAAAATATGAGCCTGTGTCTTACCTTGACAAACTGTATCACTGACAGGGGTGCAGGCCTGCAACACCTCCTCGTCATCGCAGGTGGTGCAGGGGATGCAGGGATCTCGGGAACTCTCCTGGTCCGAGTAGGTGTCCGAGGTGCACTCCTCACACACCGTGTCGTGGTCGAGCTCGCAGCTCAGCAGCATTCCCTGGCCTTCAGGGCATTTGGTGCAGGGTTCACACAGCTGAGATATTTCATTCAGGTAGTAGCCATATTTGCACACGCAGACGGCGTCGTTGGAGTCGGTGCAGGGCGTGTCCATGCGGTACAGACCTGTACACTGGGTGCACGGCTGACATTTCTCTGTGTGGCTGAAGGTTTCTGAGAAGGTTTCGCCTAAAAGAAGGGAAGAGAGAAACGGATGTTAACGTTTTTAACTGTCCAAGAGATGAGTGCTGTTTCTTTAATATCCCGTAGAGATCATTTACAGCATATGGACCATATTCCGTCATGGCTGGTGTAAAACAAAACACATCTCAGCAAGAAATCTTTTTTTTGTTTGTTTTCAGATGGGTATTTAAATGCAACAATGGGTTTCTCATTTTAGAGATTTGTGTTAGTCAAATACCCATATAAAAAAATAGAAACGAGACAGTTCTGGCAAAAAAAAATGCTACAAAAAAGTGAAAGAACAAAACAGCAATATTCCAGCAGCTGAGGCACCAAAATTGTACCCCCCAAAAAAAGATAATAACCTTCTCATAAAAAAACATAATTTCCAATAATAATATTGATTATTATTATTATTATTATTATTTAGATAAGACATGCATTTATCTCATCTCAACTGTCCCATTTCAATGAAAGTAAACACAAAACCTTCCTGCATTAAGCCACTTCATGCTCCTATTCTGCTTATTTTAACTTCCACCCAAAAGTCTCTCTGTTTTGGTAGAAGTCCCAGTCAGACTGGACCGATTGTGTTCTTTGAACAGTTAGCTTGAGACAGAGGATATTGTAATTTACCTCTGTCTGGAAGATTTTCCCTTTATTTTTACATGTTTTGAAGGTTGCATTTTTATTTTAGTTGTAGAGTTTATAAAAGTGTCTAAATAAGTATTTAAAATCTGTTTTGAACAACACTAGTCACACCTTCTTAGATGATACTTTGTTTCTTGTTGTTTTGAAATGCATTTTAGATTTTCTAAAATGTTTTAATGTATTTTGTTTTGTCAAGAAGTTTAATTAGTAAGCATGTTGTTTCTCATCATGGAAACAGCTGGCTTCTCTTCCCAACAGTGGATTCAGTTTTCTAAAATTACACAGGAATGTAGCTTTCGGGTCATTTCCCCATGTGCTTATGCAGGTGCAAAGAGGTCATTCAGAAAAAGAAACGATTCCGAGAGCACGCACAAGCAGCAACCACAACATCTGTTTCGAAAGTATTTTTTTTTATGATTATGAACATCATTACATCACCTATGTTTCATAAATGGTTTGTGTACCTGCAAGACTTCCTAGGACAGATATATCTGCAAAGGGCGCAATCAATATTGCATGTTTTATGGAATTGTATTTCGGCTGGATAGAGAACTGGGAAACACACTAAATTATGCAACAGACCCATTTGTAAGAGCAGCAGCCTCTGTGTGTGTGTGTGTGTGTGTGTGTGTGCGTGTGTGTGCGTGTGTGTGCGTGTGTGTGCGTGTGTGTGCGTGTGTGTGTGTGTGTGTGTGTGAGGGAGGTAGGCGATAGACTGTGAAAGTATGACCTCAAAATAAATCTCTGCAACAGAGTGTGTGCAAATTGTGAACAAGCATATTCTGTGGGCAAAAAGGCCTAAATATTCTTTTGTTCAGCCTCTGACTGGTTAATCGGCTGCTTTTCTTTGTCTAATGTGATGATAAACTTAATCTCTTAAGTCTTTTAATGTTAGTTTAAGAAAGCCGTATAATCCGTTGCGACAATGTTGATTGTTAAGACATCGCAAAGGGCGTTTTTCACTCGTTTCTTCTTGTGGGATTAATCAAGAAAATAATCTGTAGAATGATCAACAATGAACGCAATCAGTAAGTGCGGCCCAACTTTAAATTAAGCTAAACTAGAGTATTTACTGTTAAAGTGGGAGAGTCCCTCTTTAATCTAAACTGGTGCTGCAGCTACTATTTTAATTGGTGATTAATCTGCTCATTATGCCTTTAACTAACTGTTTTCTCAGTAAAATGTCAGAAAACAGTAAAAGAAACATCAATCACGATCCTCCAGAGCCCAAAGAATATCTTTGCACTATTCAGAATCTTGAAACATTTGATATATTGTCATTTAAACCTGCAAATATTCACATTTCTGAAGCTCATGTCAGATTATAATCAGGATTTCTTTCTATCAAAATTGTTGTAAATTATGATAATTTCAGTTTTTCTTTCAGCTCTAACCTAAACTAAACTAGTGTGTGGTAGGAGACAGGAGGCTGTTGGCATGCAGTCTCCATGTAGACCCTCTGCAGCTCAGTGTCTCATAGCGTATCAGGTTTTGGGTCTGCGTCACCGGCCCACCAACCACGGTGGACGCTCTGATGATGCAGAGATTAAAACAGAGATGAGGAGAGATAGACACCGAGACAGAGACACAGACAGACGGAGAGAAGAAAAGAAAAGCAGCCACTGTGTCATTTGAGATGAATCCGTGTGTGCAGTTCTGTCTTGAACCAATGGTGTCAAATGTGGGTTCTTCACATTTTTGTTTAATTAGACGTGGACTGAGCGTCGTCTCTTCTAGTCTACGTGGGCCCGTTGGCGTCCACTCTGTGCTGTTACCCCCCACGGCGTTATGTCCTGCAGCATCCTCCCTCCCTCCCATCAAACACACACTCAGACGAGCCCCTCTCCCCCCTCCTCATGAGTGCTCTCAGAGCCATTATCATAATGCCATCCATCAATAATGCAAGTCAATACATTAATAACACTAGCCTGCAGCAGGGCGGGAGGAGGGGGGGAGGGGAGTGCAAGCGGTCTTCTCCTGGCTCAGCATATCATATCATAGCAGTACTTTTGCTGCTGCTCAATCCCTCGCTTTGTTTTCGACACCCATAAAAGGACTCCTGACTTTATCCGCTCAGGCTACTGCGCAGCATGTGGTGTGTGTGTGTGTGTGTGTGTGTGTGTGTGTGTGTGTGTGTGTGTGAGTTTTCCTGGACATGTTTGTACGTGTGTGTCTCTATGAGCCATTAGCTGCTGGCTGAGAAGTTCGACTTGTCTCCGTTCCAGCTGCACAGCTCTACTTGTTCTGTTTCATCTCCATTTATCTGCTCATTCATCCAAACTCCTTCATGAGTTTCGGCCGGCCGTCCTTTTTAGCACCTCAGCCAGGCCCCTGATAGCTCTCTGTGCTAAATGAAGCCTGGACGCTGTGTGGAAAAACCACAATCTGTATAAATGGATGCTTGTGCAATGAGAAGCAATCAGCTGTGGGCAATACGCCTGAAACAACATATGCGAGGACATATGGTTCACGGAACTCGATGTTAATGGAGAATTAGATTGGAAGATTGTCAGAAATAAAATGTTTCTGTCACATTAATTTTTCTACCTCAGATGAAAACATAAATACTACAAAGGCCAATATATATTTCCATTGTTATAGTTCATGAAATAGATACTTAAAACAAACCTCTCTTGGTGAAAATCCCAACTTTAACCCTTTTAATCTACAGTCATAGACTTTTTGATGAATCCGATCCTTCACTGTTGCAGATGTTTGCTTTTCACTGATAACAGAAGCAGGTTTACTGCTACAAGATCTTTAAAATCTTTCAAACAAAGGGCTTTTAACTTCCATGATATAATGTCAATCAGAGATCGAGGAGAATTGGGCTGATCGAGGCTAATTGTCGACATTCAGCTGGGTTCTGGCAGTGGTTCACTTTCAGTGAGCCCGTTTTGGCCCAATAAGAGGTACCAGTTTAGGTCCGTTTTGGCTGAGAATTGGCAGGTACTCACATTCAGATCAACTATGGATCACGTGTGGTGACCTGAATTTAGACAAGATACAAAACTGGTTGAGTTTTAGCAAAAGTATTTGGGCTGCTGTACTTGGACCGATCCTTTGGCGTCAGTAGCCTGTTTTCCGACGCTGGAACATGCACACTGTTCTAGGACAGCCTGAACTTTTGTGCCTGTTCTGACTGCAAGAATAAACCCTGCAGAAGCTCATCCAGGGCCATTTTGGGGGGTACCTATCCAGGGTGGGTGATCCTGAGTGGCTCCTACATCCTGCTGTGCAGGTCTTAATGCTAATTGGTTAAAACTGGAGAAGGCAACTGCTGATTGGGTAAACTCAGAGAGCACAACAAGCGCCATTGTTCTGTACTATCGACGTCCTTGTTGAGTAGCTGTCTTCTCCTCTCAAACATCACCATCAACAGCGGAAATTTCACCATATTGACTAACATAATAAACCTCCATTGTTCAATTACCCCTGTGCTGACAGAAGTAGAGTTGGGTCCAGTAAGTAATATTTGTCATCGCGTTGGGACACTCAGAGTTGGTGTCACTAGTGTCAGTTGAAGCTGCCGGATCCTGCACCGCAATGCAAACAGAAAGACTGAAGGAGATGATTACGGGCTGTGAACGTTGGTGCCACCTCACGCCAAGTTCCTGCAGTGGAAAGTCACCTATTTATACCTGTAGCTGGGCCAAGTCATTTGTTCTGGTCCCCAGGATTTGGACCAGTATGGGACCAAACAATTTTGGCACCTTGGGGCCCCACGTGCAAAACATATAAATAAAGAGACTGCATCGGTTAAATTAAAGCTAGTTGATCCTAATATGTTGTAAGTATGATCAAGAACAAGTACGACCCAACTGCTATTCCAGAGTTAATGGATGCCTATCATTGTAACGTGATAAGATTAGGATTAAGTTAAAGATAAAATAAGATTAGGATAAGATCAAATAAGATTAAGATAAGATCAAATAATATTAAGGATAAAATAAGATAAATGTATCTTAATCTTACCACAGCTTTACTGTTTGTATTTTAGCGTGGTTTTAGTTTTAGCATTACAAGACAAAATGCTTTTGGATAAGGACTGACCAAAATGTTTGGCAAAGTTATCCTGTGATTTTAGCGTCTTTCAGTCTAATAATACATCACAGCTTCAGGATTAGGTTTGGGATCGGGCCTGACTACCACAGTGCCGAAAAACCACACAGTAGATGTGCTTGTTGTGAAGGGGACTTTCTGTATCTCCACAAATAATTTGTGAAACTCCCTTGGGAAAAATATTAATGCTGGATCATGTTACTTCTGTAAACTTGTTAGCCAAACATGCAAACATTGGCAGCTTACATAAGAACAGACAAACACTCCCTTTAATCAGCATGTTTTGTTACTGATTCTTTGCTTCTGAAGAGGATAAAAAAATAAATAAAAGCCTTACCAATCACTCTTCAGGGCAGGAGTAGAGAATGATCAAATGACAGGTCTGGGGATTAATAACCAAGCTGTAAACAAGTTGTTTACATGCTCCATCCACCTGCATTACAGATGTAATCACTATGTTTGATGTGTTCTTAAAATATCTTTACAATGACGGGCAGCTATCTGTGTTGCATTTGTCTGTGAGTGAGTGCAGAGCCTGTCTGGTCTCATGACAGTTTTGAGAGGCTGCTACTGTCTGTTTGTTCATGTCTGAGCAGAACAAGCACCATAAGACTGATAATTATCATCGCTGGAAACCTCTGTGTTGTGCAATTGAAAGCTGCAACGTCAAAGACACCCGTAGTAAAAATCATTTTGAGCCTAAAATATCCGTTTTTATACAAGTAGAGCTGAAGATAATTTACAGTCTTAATGCTTCTATATGTGGCAACCATATGTTTTCAAGGTGTAACTCTTCAGCTGAGAATCACTTTTAAAAGCGTACATCATTCCAAAGAAGCCCGACCAGTACAAATAAATAATATCTCCTTGGCCACATTCTCTGACTTCTCTCATGCCCTGAGGACTTAATCATTTTCTGACTGCGGGGCTCCTTGGCTCACGGTTCGCCATCCTTCACTGACCCATTGAGGTTTACAGCTACTTCCTGGCCTGGACGCAGGACAGTCATGGAATTCTTACAAGGAAAACTCTGGGAACAGAGCAGGAGCTGGCTGTGAACCAACCTCGGCCACTTCAAGCTCAAGCTGACCTTTGAGCTCACACTAAAAAACCTTCAATGCGTTTTCCCTTCACTCCAGTAGAAATGCGCCTCACAGACCTGAAATATCTTCTCAAGCTCTTCAGTTACAGCTTCATGTTTATTAAATGTAAATCTACAGTGCCTACCATCTCTATCGCTGTGACACGACCACTTATCTAGTGCTTGAAATATCTCCGCTGCAGTTTTTTTTGTCTGTGACAACGCTTGGAGCCGATCCTGCTCTGGTATCCTCTCAGCATCTCTGTCCTCATAAAGTCTTTCTGCCCGACACAGATTCTCTCCCTACATGGTTAAGGTCAAGATGAGGGCAGCGATGGTGGAAAACAGTTATGTCTGGCATCTAGTTTACTTCCAAACAGGCAGCTGAATCAGTCTAACGTTACACATTAGGTACTTCAATCTGCATAATAATCAGGAAATAACACAGATGTTTTACATCAATAATAGTGAAGGCCTCAGATGCACTGCTGAACACCCACATTTGTTATTCTTTAATCTGATCCAAACCAATGTTGAGCTCTGTTATGTTGGGAAATCAAGCAAACTGTGCTCTATTTTAGCAGCATGACATGACTCTAGGGATGGTTGTACTGTATCAGTCAGTTAGTTGGTCCAACACTGAAGTCCAAGCTGATGTATCAAGACAAATGCTCTTAAAGTCAGAGACCCTAAGGATGGTTATCAAGGATTTTGGTGATCCTTGGATTTTTCCTCAAGTAGCAACCTGAAGATTAAAGTTTTATACATTTTTTAAAAATCCCCAAATCTTCTCAACAGATTGGTGAAAAATCTGTCGCATAACTTCACCACTTCCAGACAATGATGACCCCTGATTTTAGTTTTCGCACCCCATGAGGTTGTTTTTTTAGTTAAAACAAAATGTCTGTTTGGATGGACTGCAGTGAAATTTGGTTCATACTTTCACAGTGAGCTCCTGATTTATCATGTAGGGGTATTATTCAAATACCTGCAATGCTAATGAGATTCCCATCAGTCTCTGCTGCGTGTTTATTATGGCTCATAAACATGCATTAATATGCTGATAAACTGAGAGTATGACCATAGTAAATGTTACCTGCTCCACATCAGCGTGTTAAAAATGTCATTGGAACCATGTTAGCGAGTAAATGGTATTTCAAAACAGCCCTAAAGAACCTATCTTACAATTAGAGCATCTCTCTAGTGTTAGATTCAACCTCTAAAACCTCATCTCTCTGTAACACAGCCACACATGTAGATGTTTTTTCCTGAAAATAATCCCTCCTAGTCTTAAAATGGTTTACCTGTAATCCTACAGTGTTACTTCCTCTAGAATATGCAGATCTATGAAGCCCCCATCATCTCTCTCCACAACCCCAACCCCACTCACTGCAGCTCAGGAACACCAGCTCACTGATTTATCTATTCCTGGTAAAACCGAGTCAGAAAAAGAATAATGATACAGAAAGCTCCACCCCACCAGTTGACAGGATGGTTCTTTAGGTTTATTACGTATGAGATCCTGAAAGTCTGAATCAGTGTTTCTGAGATGGTCATCAGTACACTGGAGTTTCATGGTGGAAATGACGGCTTATTTTGCTCATGGTATGTCTTCTAACATGTAAAAATACACAATGTGGTCATTTTAACAACCAGTAAAAACCTGATTTGACCAGAGAAAGACACAGTGTAGTAGCTCGACCTATCTCCAAAGCTGTGTCAGTATTGAAGAATAGTCTGGCTGTACTCATTATCACTCTGCTATAGGGAGAAAAAAATGCTCTGACTTGTTTGTATTCACCTAAACTAATCACAACCACACTAGGCGGCACTAAGCCTCTGCAAAATAGGCTCAATGAGGGAACCTGTGTTGCTGGACCGTGCTCAGAAAATGAACCTTTTGAACTTATGAACTTATGGTCAAACATGTAAGAAAATTTCTGTTAGATAAAAAATGCTGTAAATATATTGTTTGTTGTTCTGTACGATCATTTGCTGAAAGAGCCAAGCAAGGCTGCCTTAATGCGCGATCAAAGCTTGCCGCTTTTGTGCGAGGTTGTAATTATAACAATAATATAAAACTAGCTTCTGCAGTTTCTCAACCATGTAACAAAAGGCTTCACAAAAGGAATAATAACAGCATTTGTTGTTGTTTTCAATAGCAAGGAAGATTTTGAAATGGTAACATGCAAATAGGGGTGGAGAGGGGAGAAAGCCATGTGAAATATGCAACCAATGGCAGGCTTAAACCTGCAGACTAACTGTACAGCAACCTAACAAAGCTACTAATGTCATGCTAATAGAAGGTAGTGTCACAGAAACTACACAAAGCTATTATTATGTCAAGAATAAATGACTGCTGATGGTCTAGCAGAACGATTTTGCATACCAAATCTATTTTTTCAGCGCCATTGCTGTGATTTACAATCCTGTGTCTTCTCCAGCGACAGCAAGGACAGCAGACGATTTGTATGTAGAGGAAATAACATGAAACACTAAATCACCATCACTGCTCATCAGACCAGAGCGCTAAATATTTGACATACTCACATGACGCAGCTCCGTCGTTAATGTTTAAACACACACATGGGCTTTTATATATTACCATTGTGCATTTTTGTCCATCAAACAGTCTTTGCCCATCTGTATGTGTGAATGTAAGTCCACAAACAGCTTTTTTTTTGTTATACTCACTGTCAAGGCACGGAGAGCAGACTGTCTGTGTGGCTCCACATGGTTTGACGACACCCTCGCCGGGCTGACACTGCTTGCAGCATTCTCCACTGGTCGTATACTGGCCCGACAGACACTTCTCCTTATTGGCCAGAGCCCCAACCTGCCGATGTACAGAAAGGTAAAGCAACATGACATTTACATCCAACAGCAAACATAAGGTTGTCAATACAAAAAGACAAAAATGACTATATTTATCATCTACAAAGAACCAAACAGCAAGCATCGTCTCAATCGAAGCAATGTGAACCATTGTGCTATGTGAGAAGTTCAGATAAAGAGTGTCTTTCTTTCATTTGGACCATTTTTGGAGGCTGGAAAGAGCTAAAACAACGAGTATTTCACGAGAAAAGGCAACAGAAAGAAAGCAAGAACAATACTCTGTAAAGCAGAAATCATTCTTTTCTTACTTCCTTTTTTTAAATCATCTTGTATTCCAGTACGTTTATTTTGGACTCACTAACCCAATGCTTCCCAGTTGATGGAGTCATGAGCCTGCAAGAGGTCAGCAAGATGAATTTAAACAGTTGTGAGATGATTAATGAGATAGTTACACTAAATTTCCCATTTTCCAAAGTCTTCTATTTTCTATGCTTTTGTGAAATACCAGAAATAATTTCCTTATCTGGCTTCTAAAAGCATCCAAATGAAACAATCTGCAGAACAAAACTCTGTCTCTGGCTGAACTGCTAACAGTCTGTAGACACATGAAACCTGTAACATGAGGTCACGACAAGGCACGGCTTTGTTTTATATGATCACATGCCAGAAAGGTTGGGAAACCACAACTTTAGTCACTTAAGACTCATTTTAGCCGTAACACAAATACTGCATGTGCATGTGTGAAGTTGCAGTAATGAAAGCAAACAAAATCACACATCCAGACCAGGAGTAAAGCTGGTTTTCGCTACATTCTTCAAACCTGTTGAGAGCTTTATCTCAGCTGTTGACAGGTGCAGATGTTTGTGCTTGTCTCTGCTTATGCATAAATGCATGAGAATGTGCACACACTTGCATGCTCATGCCCAAGCCTGGTTGTGTTTGCATGTCCTCCCTACTGTGCGTGGCATTTACCATTATATCGTACTAAATCTTTCCTTTCTCACGCCAAGTCTTTGTTTTTTTATCTTCCGCACGCCTTGATCTCCAAAGCAAACGGCGATAAAAGCAGCGATTGCCCTCTGACACCGAGGAGCGGCCTGTCTTTCATTCTCTGCAGAATCGCGAGGAGGGGTTGTTTTAGGCCATCATTTATGAAGTTAGGATGTCCCGCTGTTGGGCGTCTTTGACAGACAAGCGTCAGATCAAAGGTCAAAAGAAAACTCTATCTTAGACTTGTTTGAATCATTTGAAAACTACCAGAAGCAGGATTTTGAGGGTACATCTGAGTCACTTTCCTCTTAGGTGAGGCACATTTTTGCCGACTGACTGTTACACATTTATCAACACAGTCTGACGGTGTGCGACCACATGTGGGTATGTTGAAATTTGTGTGAAGGAGGTGCACTCGGCATAAATCGTCAGGGTTCAGGTGTGTGAGGAATGTTGCTGACAAGAGAGAGGAGCTCTACAAAACGTCAAGTGTCCCTTCAGGCACCTCTGAGTCAGCTGGCAGATAATGTTCATGTATGTGTGGTTGTGTGTGTGTGCATGCGAGTGTACACACTCTCTCTTGTCCTTGATGGTGTCATGGCTCATTCACCTTTAAGTCTTTGGTATTCAGTTCTCTGTGCTGCCCATGTTTGAGAATGTGACTTCGCGGGGCGACTTTTCACGCCTGATGATATCAAAATATTCTGCAGCTTTATCACCTCAAACTGATAAGAAACAAAAACCCACTCTGTAGGAGGTCCATCTGTTCCGTCTGTCCTCTAGAGGTGTTCGAGGATCTCTGGTCTCACCCAAATGTGCACTAAAATGGTTTTCATTTGTGTTTGAAAAGTCAACATTTGAGTTGTGATGATTTTCCCTGTGCAGCGATTTTAAACATTTAAAATGCCTCTTTGACCTTCCTCAACCTCACGCTTGCCTTACGCAAAAAGTGTTCATTTAAAGAGGATTCACTGAGCACTCTTCCTTTCCCTGCTTCCCCTGATCTGCCCCCTTTACGTACTGCGCACGCCCATCCACATTCACACATTTGCACAAGCGCATTAACAACATCGCATGTGAACAAACCTGTTCCAAAATGTCTAATTGGCACTTTTGAAATGACTCCAAGTTTCAGCTTTTAGCGTCTGCTTTTTTTTTTTTTTCCTTTTGACCCTCTTCTAGCTCCGGGTGTGGGCGCAACAGCAAACTGTCTTAATGACCCAAAAACTGAAATTTAAGTGCATCCCTAATGTTTGTGAACTTGTGAAAACAGATGTGATTGGAGCAAATAGCTTGCGGAATTGAAAAAAAAAAAAGAAAGATGCAGAGCGTTCAGCAAGTTGTAGCTCGACCTGCACGTTTCCTATTATTAGTTGTTAGATGGGACTTTGAGCAGTTGCCCTCTTCAACTCTTGTCGGCTAATCTCCCAGAAGCAAGAGGCAAGATGATCACACACGCAAATGCAAGTGCAGAAGCATCTGGACGCACGACTTCAAGCGCTACCACCAATCTTACTAATGCTCCAGTCAATTTTCAGTTGGAGGCACTTAACCTCTGGACCTCAGCTGTCAGCACTTGTTAAGCCATTAGAGTTCCACTAAACCAGCCTTCCTACTAAGCTGGGCCTAATTTTAATCAGGACATGGCTCCTCAACTGTTGTGGGCACCACTGGAGGTGACAACAAAGAGCACTGAGTCGTCATCTCCTTGTGAAGTGAGAGGAGGGGGCAGAGAGACGGAAATAAAGAAGAGAGTGATGTGAGTATGAAGTGAAAGTAGGAGAGGAAGAGTGAGGATGAGGGGGGGNGGGGTTCAGGCTCTATCAATATTACATGTGCTGAGCCAGCAGAGGATGCATGCCCATCGGAGGGAGCAGCTGTCATGTATCAGTGATGCGGCCTGCTCCAAAACCAGGACCTTGACAAGCTCACGGCACTGACTGACCGCGTCCTGTCTGATTTAAGGCGCTGAAAAAAAAACCCATATAAAACATTTCCTTCCTGGGCCTGCATGGCCTCAAGAGAATTACAGATAAATCAGTGAGATTAAAAAACTGTGACTCTCCAGAGTTTCCATGCATCCTCTTAAGATTTCTCTTGTTGATTTCTACTCTTCCTCTCATGTGTACAAGTCGTCCTTGTATCTCTCTCACTCTGCGTCTGCTTCCCTCTCCTGTATGCGTGAACGGCGTTTTCCAGATCTTTATGGTGGTCGGCTCAGTTCCTGTCTGGAATTTGAACCTGGAAGTTGCTCCTCCTGGATCACACTGCAAATCTACCAGGTTGCTTTTCTACACACATAACATCTATTGCACAACCTGAAAGAAGAACCTCTCCTCAGTTTCCCCCGTGAAGCTTTTTGTTGAAATGTAATCAAAGATCTGTGGACAGAATGTGTCCTGCTGCACATCCCATCAGTCAAATCTGTAAATTGTGGCCAATCAAACACACCAAACTATTAAATTCACAAATCCTTCCATCCTATAACACATGTCCTATTTGTGAGCTCCTCCACTGCGACACTGTTATTGTCCTGCTGTCTGTAGAGCCACATGTAACTGAGAAGGGTGGAACTACAGATCCAGCAACTGGAGCTATAGAGTATCAACCTGAATGGCTGCTGCATACATCCGCTCTGCTTTACACTGACAAGCCAGAACTGAAGTCAGGACAGGTGCAAGAACCCGGACTCTTAACTTTCTACACCTAAAACATCTATTTTATGAGTAATGCACCAAGAGGAGACAAAAATATAAGCTGCCATACAATAGGTTTACGTCCAAATCTCAGCATGATGCAGGGAAACGCGTAAAGCTCTACAGGGAAAGTTTCCTGTCAAAAAATAAAAGGCACAAAAAGCTGAAAGGAAAGAAAATCTGTAATAAACTTTCTTACAAACTCTCACCGCGTGTTAGCCGCTCGTTAGGTTGGTGCGTAATTGCGCAGCGTCCTCTCCGCACAGCGTGACGGGACGAATGTGTCCAAGTGAAGTTTAAGGCAAACATTTGACACACGTTATGTAAGAAGCTACTCACCACTCCGAGTAACACTGCCATGAAAGCCGAATTCATCCTGTATCTCCTTTGCATCTTTTCCAGGGGGGGGTCAGCGGTCGGATGCAAACGCGGGAGGATGCGGATCTCAGTGACTCCGAGGTGAAATAAACTCGGCTGTCATCGTTGCGTCTTGTTTTTATTTTTTTGTCGCGATTCTTTTTGGTTTTAGCGTAATTACAACAACAAAAAAATGTCCAAGTAGTTGCTCGCTGTCAAGTGGAATCAGTCAGTCCTTAAACACAATCCAGTCAGTGAGTAAAACTCGCTGAGATTCACTCATTGGATTTTTCGCCTGTGTGCGCTTATTGCAACTGGGCTCGTATGGCAGCAGCAGCAGCGCGCAGCTCAACGGCTTCAGGGAAGGACACATCTCCTTATCCACGCCCACAACACACACACACACACACACACACACACACACACACTAGCTGTCTCTCTGACAACTTAAATTATGATCTATTTCTGTTCTGTTGCTGCTGAGTCAGAAAAACAACTGCTTTTCTCTCATCAGTCACATCAAGTTTTGTGTAAATCATTTGTCATGCCATCAGCTCTGTCCTCGCTGACTTCAAGTCTCGCTGCGAACCAGGACACCTGAATAAATTGAACTTTTCTCCCTTGGACAGCTTCTAAAATGAACAGAAATCCATCAGATGCTCCCTGAAGCAGCGAGCTGATTTGTGCTGTCAGTGCCTGAGGACAGAAGCCATATCATCAACAGCATGACTCCCCCCCAGAGGTCAGGCTGCATGAACGCACCTTTAACCCAGAAACCTGAGATTCACACAACTACACATCCACTGACATTTGCAGCAACATCCATGCCGGCTAACTAAACGTAAAGTTTACTTTGATCACACTCTCTGACGAGTTCAATTCATGAAAACTGCATTTTTGTCTCTTTGTGAAGCCTCCTCTAAATTAGAAAACCAATGTGACTTATTCAAAGCTCATGTTTATCTGTTCCTGAGAAGTGGAAAGACAGGGTTGCTCTTGTTAGAAACACTGCTGCCTTTATGCATAAGAAGAGGCGACCTGCTGTTGGAGAGACACCCGAGGCGACGTGCTGGCCTGATATAAACCAGCAAACACGTCATATTCTAGTCGGGTTCAAGTTCATGACTATACATGCCGCCCTGTTCGATATGTTGTTGCACGGCAGAACTGGCTAAAAGACTGGCAGAGTTGTTTGCTGGGGTTTGCAAGTACATGTGTCATGTTTTTGTCGTCACTAACTGAACATCCTCGGAGCAAATTCAAAGAACAAACCTCTGTATCTGCTTCTTTTGATAGAGTTACTACGCTTGATATGCTAAAGGGCACAGGACCAGTTGGCGCTCACACAAAATAAATCTCAGCCTGATAATAAACCACATTATGAAGTATTGCTGACATCATTACTGGGCTGTTTGTCGATTTTACTTTGCAACGTGTATTGATTTTGTGATATAAACCTAATTCTAATGATAAATAAGTAAGTCTCACACTGACCCACTCAAGTCAGAGGCTGCCAGTTTAACTGTGAAAGCCCAGCCCGACCTCTCATATCCATCATTACTAAACTTTAACTCTGTGACACTTCACAGCTGCAGAATATTATGCAATGATGATGAAGTAGCTGCAGAGTCCCTGTGTGGACTGTTAAATTCCTGGAGTTTGATGAAAAGGTCACATTTTGACATAGTGTCTGCCAAAATCTAACTCCCAGTTTATCCTCTGGATCCTGAACAGTTTGCGGGCATTTTTTACTCTTCTACCTCTATGATCTTTTTTTTGTTTGTTTGTTTTTTACTGCAATATAAAGTCCTGCACCTCTGTGGAAACAGCACAATAATAGCTAGAAGTAGTGAGAATGTCTTTGGGGCAGAGTGACACCATTATAATGCCTTAATTTTTTTTTTAAGTGATTAAAAAAAAAAATTCTGATTATGTATATTATAAAAATTGAAAAAAAAAAAAAAAAGGAATCAACATAGAATTGTCCAAGTTTCCACACATGTTACCAATGATGGAGAAAAAAAGGTGCCTTTACATACTGTAGATATTTGACTACTTTTATTTTTTAATTTGTTTTCTAACTCGTGTCCTCTCTGCTCATGCATAAACACAGCCTGCAGTTCAACTGAAAAGTCACTGAATTTTTGTCGCATGACTGTTGGTAGTAGCTGAGTCACTGATAGCTTCACCGAATCACCAAAACATGCAGAATTTTTAGTTCTTTACATAATCTTGACAGACCAGATGATTTAGTTTTTACAAATTTTTAAATGAAACATGAAGAATAAAATGTTAAGCTTAGATTTTCCTGATAAAACTGCACATCACACGTGATTTGTTCAAGGGCACTCAGAAAGTTGAAATTCAAAAAGGATTCTCTCTGTTTTTACAGTTTCTGGGCCTGAAAAATGGTGGAATTTTACGGATTAGTTTTAAGGATAACATACCTTTCAAACCCAACAGCAGGCTTGGGGGTTTAGAACTGATCATTTCTTTGGGTTTGGAGGGTTAATTTGATTCTCAATATGTGCAGATGTTTGTATATCTGCTGTTAAAGTACGTTTATGGCCTCCATATGTTTATTAATAAACTGTGCTTTCACAATAAAAGAATGACGGTTCTACTTCACCTATCATACTGATGAGACTGTGATTTTTAAAGCCCGTATGAAGACTAAGGGCAGTGGGGGACATGGGGGCAGCAGATGAGGAGGGAGAGGAAGCTGGGTTGCTATGGGGGGATAAATAATGCATGAATGCAAAGAGAGGGAGAGAGAGTGAAACAGACAAAGAGAATGAGGGAAAGAAAAGCTCTTCCAGAGTCACTAACAGTATGTGGGCCAAACTCTAATGTTCACTTGTTCTTTTGTAATTCATTATAGAGAATCAGTGTCTATTCCACCTGCAGTCACTGAAATGATGACATGAAGCACATTCTGAATACAGGTTAGACTATATGTAACCCTGTTATAATCCATTCTGTATAGATTTAAGCAGATAATATTGCCATGCAGGGTTTGGGTTTTTTGGGGGGCTAATAAATGTGTATTTTTATGCAATCAGTGTAATTCATTTTACACAACAACAAAACATTATTACTTTTCTAAGAACTTTTAAAATCTTTCAAAATTCAAAGGGACATTGTGAAAAACTTCAAGTACTATTTTTTTTCTTTTTTAAATAATTTAGCTTAATGTGGCAAGGAACAAATAAACAAATTCACAGGCTATGATGTGTTTAGATTTTGTTTTTTCAGAGATAAATTTGTCTTTTTCTCCTTCCTCTTTGATGTAAATCTTAAATTGTGTATCGTACTGTAATAAGTCAAAGGAAACTGCAGAATGTTTGGGTCTGCTTTGATTCTGGAACAAGGTTTTTGTGTATTCACCAGTTCATGCTCGCTGGACGAGTGAAAAAGAGGATGCATGCATTATGAAATGTGAGAGGAAAACTGCACCACTTTCATCACATGCACAATGTTCTAGACTCACACTAGTGCAGTCACACATACATACACACATACACACATGCACACACGCATGCACACTTTTTATGCAGGATCAACCACCTGGAACAGAATCCTTTTCTCGGAACCTGAGATGAGACAGTGAATGTCTCCTGGACCACCCATCCTCTGTCCACTCACT